TGATGAAACAAAAAATTTTATCTATATTTTCATATCGTTGGATATAAAATATCACAAATCTCTGAATTTATCAATTTTTCATGGATGGCCGCTTCTTATTCATTTTAGAAAAAATTGTGTCCATTTCGTAAAATTATCGACTATTATCAATAAGAAATTCATCTATATTTTCATATTGGATTTATCATTTTTATATCAATCTCTACTTGTTCATCTTTACAAAAAAAAAAACGAAGCAAAAAACCTCGTATATTTCCTAAGATCATCGACAATGCTCAACAAAAATGTTTTTTCATAATGATCGACATAAAAAAAATGAATATTTACTATATTTTCATAACGATCGATATAAAAAAATATGAATATTCACCGTATTTTCGATAACAATGGATATAAAAAAAATGAATATTCTTAGTTTACCTGTCAGTAAGAGTCGATAATTTGTTTCTGACGTAACACAGGCACGCGACTCAACGCAAGAGAAGAAAGGAACGATAACGTCGTCGAGCCTAGCGGAGTCGTTATGCATCGCACCGTACTGCACCGCACCGCACCGCACCGCACCGCACCGCATCAATCGCATCGCATTGCATCGCACCGCACCGTACAGAAAGAGAGAGAGAGAGAGAGAGTGAGAGAGAGGGAGAGAGAGAGAAAGAGAGAGGAGTAGGGGATGTAGGGTGCGCGGAGCAAAACTGGGTTACTGGAGCTTCATTCACATTACGCGGCCATTCATGAGATTTGCTAACCATTCGGTTTTCAAACATTTCTCACTTCTTTCGACTTTTTCAAAAATGTTAAAGCAATTCTAAATTTATTATTTTGTTTTCTTTATAATTCAACCAAAATTTTTCGAAAAAGTAAAGATCAAACGGATATTTTTAACCAGAAAATTTTATTATCTTTATTCGTCTGAGCCTCGAATTTGAAACATTATTTTTAAACGATCTAATTTGAATTAAATCTTATTTTACATAATCAATGTATAATAATAATAATAATAATAATAATAATAATAATAATAATAATAATAATGATAATAATGATAATAATGATAATAATGATAATAATGATGATGATGATGATGATGATGATGATGATGATGATGATGATGATGATGATGATGATGATGATGATGATGATGATGATGATGATGATGATGATGATGATGATGATGATGATGATGATGATGATGATGATGATGATGATAATAATAATAATAATAATAATAATAATAATAATAATAATAATAATAATAATAATAATTAATAAATATTATAAATAATAATAATAATAATTATAAATTATTAAATTATTTATCAAATTTGTTAGAAATTAAGAAAAAAAGTTTATCTATTCAATGTCGCGTACTTTCAATTAATGTTTCGAAAAAAAAAACAGAAGAAAAACGAATGAAACATATGCAAATAAATAAATAAATAAATAAATAAATAAATAAATATTTTTTAAGTAAATTTATTAGCGAGATAGTAATAAAGAGATCTTTTCTAGATCACTCTAAGAAGGAATAAGTATTGTTGGAAAGATGTTGGTTCTTCTGGTGCTTCATTTTTTCAATGAATCGAATCGTTCACGTCTAAGTAGGTATATTCAAGGAAAGCCGATGGGGTGCTTTAACCTCGCGGCCTAGTTTGCATCCCCTGTGACGTCACGTCAACGTCATTGCCCGGGCGAAAGTAGGTCAAACGAACCCAGCCTGACTGCCGGAAGGCCGATCGAAGAGTTTATTGAGAAATTCCCATGACTACGTCGTCGATGTCCATCGATACTCGCTTACGAGAGCGATTAAGAGAATCTGAAGCTTCTTATTTCTCTTTTGGATTTTTATAAAAGACAAACTAAAAAGATCGATTGGACGTTGTTCTATATGAAGAGGTCTCATCCTGCTATTTTCTAAAAGAAGATATCTTCTTTTAACACTTATTTTGATAATACGAATAAATATAACGTTAACGTTATAAAAAATTTTATCAAAATATGAAACATTATTTAATCATTGAATATTATAGATTTTATTAGATCTGTTGTTAGGACATACATTCGGAAAAATAAATGATATATATTTTTTGAAAGTGAATCACAAAACTGATTTTGCACAAATCCCAATATCTAACATAGATATTATTCAAGAAATAATTTTTGATTAATAAATTGAACGGGATACCCATTTCAAAATCTCTAGTAAAAATATGACTCGAAAATAAATCACAAAGTATTGACCTGACCTTGTACAACGATATCTTTACATATCTAAATTATAGTATTATATTATAATAAATATACTAATATATCTTTACCTATTTAATACAATTATTAATATATACTTTCAGAACATAATTATTGATTAATAAATTCGACGGGATATCTATTCAAATATCAAATAAAAGTTACCGTTCGGATGTAAATCACAAAGCAGATCTTGCATGACATCTCTACATATTTAATGTATGATATCTATCGAATCATTTTTTCTGTCTTATCAAACATATTCATATTCGATCAATAGAAGATCAGCAAAAAAAAAATATATATATATTTACAATAATTTCTTACACATATATATCTACACGTAATAATAACACTATTATAATATCAAATCAAAGTTTTATAGTAGTAATGTCTGTAGAAACATGTATAAGTATACTAGAGTAAAGGGGGTGAAATAAAAGAGGGATGCAACGAAAAAGGAAAGAGGGGATAGGAGAGGAAGTAGAGACGAGCCGCAAAAGGGGAATCGCGGTTAGGCGCAACGACACTGCTCGGTCGAAGAAGAGAGAAAAGTGGTGTTGGTAGTGGCGGTGGTGATGGCGGTGGGAGTGGGGATGAGTGGGTGGAAGACGCGGTAAGAGAGGAGTGGTCGGTGATGGTTATTTTTAGAAAGTAGGTTACCCATAAACCCTAGTTTGTCCCGTGACGTCACGGGATCGTCGTCGTGGCAACAGGAACGCCAGTTCAATCACCTTCGGTTTACAGCCACCTTTTGGCCCCCACCATTACCTTCCTACCAACCCTCCCCCTTTTCTTTCTCTTTCTCTATCGCTTTCTCTCTCTCTCTTTCTCTCTCTCTCTCTCTCTCTTTCTCTCTTTTTGCTAGTTCTTAACGGGGGAGTCGGCAGCTTCGTTTTACCGACGGAATAGGTTAGAGGTTACGATATCGCGACGATCAACGTCGGTGCGTCCATGTTTTTTAATGTTCTTTTATTACACATACGCGCACATACACATGTATATATTATTCTTGTATATATTATTCTTGTATATAATATTATCTATAATATTGTTTTGTGAGTAATATTTTTGCTTACAAAATGGATAGGACTTTTTAAATAGATTTAACGTATACATATGTGAACGTGTGTGCTTGTATTTAATACATATTTATATATAAGGAATATATGTGTATATGGAGTATTAGTAACATGTAGTATACAAAACTGTATTATTAATAATATATTGTGTATATTATTTCAATACTTCTAATTGATTAGTAATAGATAATATATAATTAGTACTATGATTCACACTAATTTTTGTTTCTTTTTAACTCTGCTTGATAATAATATATATATATATATATACTTAAAAAAAACCATTCGATCATTTCAAGTTCAAATTCATTCATATAATATAATAGTAAATATATTAATGAAGTGAAATTAATAAATATAGAAATATTTAAATATTTATTCGATGATTACTTTGTTAGATTATGTTATATAAAAAATTTATTTACTTTATCTAAAAATAATGTATATGATATATGTTATAATCGTTTCGAATTTTTAAAGGTATAGGAGCATAATGTTTTTAAATCAATTTTCATAACTTTCGCCATCTTTTAACGAGAATGTTATTCTAGTGAAACGTTGTTTCTCTTTACCGACCGTTGTCTGTTTTAGCTACTTTTACTACTTGCCCGATCAAATAACGACTCCTACTCCTTTGGCCGACCAATAGAGGTAGTTACTACTTACAGAATGCTTACGATATTCTACGAAAAAATATTTATCTAATAATGATACACAATAATTTTTTTATTATTATATAAACTGTTCCTGTTGATGATATATATATATATATATATATATATATATATATATATCACGCATACAAACAAGTAGTTTGTTTAATAATATTTTAATAATTTTAAAAAATCAAAACGAGCGTGTTAAAACTATTTTATCGATAATATTGATTTCTAAATCTTTGAATGATTTCTAAATATCACGTTACATTTCCCTTAATTCTAGGTTTAGATCAAAATATTTAGGTGAATTAGGATGACGTAGTTCTTCTGAAACACGTTAGAGCTTCATACTTAAGTGTCAACGTTTTCATTAGCTTTAGCACGTTTAGTGCCAAGCAGCTGTCGTTGTCGAATAAATTTTAAACGTGTACAGATTAATAATATCTTTTCCGTGTTTAATCATTTTGATACTAAATTCGTGAAATTCTCATCAAGTTTTCCATAACATATATTAATATACTAAACTATATATATTATACTATATGTGCATATATTATTATTTATTATTAATATTATTATTATTATTATTATTATTACCATAATATGTACTGACACACACACACACACATACACACATTACTATAGTGTACATCGTATTACAGTATTATTCATAATATAATTATATATTCTTATTTGCAAATCAATTGATAAGAATGATGTGTAATTTATAGATCTATCAATCTATCGTATCAACATAAAATACTATATCATATATAAATAAATAAATATATATATATATAATATTTATTTATATACATAATTTGTGAACGATTTATTTTCTATAAACATGAATAAAAAATATTTTTGATTATTTATTACAAATTTTATGATAGATTTTGAAAGAATGATTATAATATCGAACAAAACGATCGATCGAACGTAGATCGAGTTTACGATCGAGAGGAAAACCCAGCTCCGTTTTCACTTTCAAATTTATTTTTGGCGACGAGCGGAGCACAGCTCTCGTCTAAAAATGCTTACAAGCGATGACGGCTTTTCATTGGTTGTTAGAAGGACCACGTGAACGTGCTAAGAAGAAGGCACGCGACGAAGGCACACAAGAAAGGCACAGTCAGCTGCCTAACGTCCGGTTGGCTAGTTCGAAGCCATCTCGTTCTTATCAAGGTAAGCAGTTCGTTATTTTTTTCTCTTCTTTTGCCAATTTTTTTTTTTTCATGAAGAAATATTCTCTATTTATCGAATATCAAAAAAAGAAATGAAAAAGAGTCGTTCGAAAAGTAGAATATCTATGTGCGTTTATCGATTATTTTCAAGGACATTTATGTCCGCTGTTTCTCGAGTGTCAGTGAAAGGTGATCTCGTATGCTTTAATTTTTATATACCTATATCTATATACATATGTTATATTGGCACTGATATTTTTTATGAATCTATACAGATGTATATAAAGTATATGTGTGTGTGCGTGCCAGAGAGAAAGATAAAAAGAGAAAGAGAGAAAAGTTACTAGTTTCATGTCATAAACGTCAATTTAATATAGTGTTTCTTGATTGTTTTATTAAGTGAGTAAATTCTATTCAAATTAATATTAATTTTCCATAATTTTTTTTTAATAAAGTACATATCTCCTACTTTTTGCAGAAATTATTTAACTTTTCCTCATTTTACTTTTTATACTTATACGTTTCTTCTTATTTTGTTTTTATGATACCTCTTGGAAAGATAAATTCAAATAAAGTTTTTCTTTCTTTCTTTTTTCTTTTTTTTCATTATGTTTTCAGAATTCGTAAAGTTTTCTATGAAACATTGACAAAAAGAAAAAGAAAGAGAGAAACGAAAAAATAGAATATTATTTCTATATTTATATAGAATTAAGTAGATTTCTCTCTATATGACCTCGGAGATGTTAGAGTATGTAGAAAGCGCACAGCAGAGTTTGGTTGTAATTTCTTGTAGGTTCGTTGTGCGCTTAGAATAGCTTAGGAATGAGAAGAGAATCTATACTTGGCAAGAGAGAGAGAGAGAGAGAGAGAGAGAGAGAGAGAAAGAGAGAGAGAGAGAGAGAAAGAGAGAGAGAAAGAGAAAGATCTTGCACACTCTTTCACGAATATAAATATCGGAGAGTCTGCAAGATTCTAACTGTGAAAATGTATGTGTATGTATAGGAATAAAAATACGAACGTTTAGGAATAAGAATAAATCTAAGATGGCAACGTTTTCTATAAATTTCATTATTTTATTATTATTATCTTCCTAACTATACTTCTTCGAAGAAACGTAATACTCTTTAGTCTCGACAAATGTTTTTCTTGTGCATCAATCATTATATCTTTACTCTATTGTATTTATTCATATATTAATTCTTTAATTTTTTAGATGAAAGATCAGCAATAAAATAAAAAATTTTAATATAAATAACTTTGACTCTTAACTCGAGATCAAAGTACATAATAGTAAACATTGGAATAATCTTACGTAAATTTCAGTATTATTCAAAAATATCTCTGTGAGATCAAGTTTTCTCTATTCGACGTTAGATCGAAGTTGGTATATGTAAAACGATGTATGTGAATAAAGGGGAGGGGATAAAGAGAAAGAGATCTACAGCAGCATGTTGGATCCAAATTTGGATCGCCCTAATATACCGACGTAGCCAAACCGACTCAACGTTACGAGACCTTTGAAAAGAGGGGATGCTCAAAATCTATTTTTACTCTTTCGATATTCTATACCATCTGCGATGAAGTTTCTTGCATCGTAAGATAAACGGAGAAATTTAGGCTTATGGAATATTATCGTGACAACTGATTCAAAATGTGATCAAAAAATTATTGTAAATTTGCTAAAAAAAGAATTTCTTTTTGTCCGAACAAATTTTTATTTCTGTTCAATTCTATGTACAATTCCAAATCGATATACACACACACATACACACACACATATATATATATATAATTAATTTTATTTATCTTTTTTCTTTTTTTAATCTTAGGTAGACGCGTGTAAGAAATAAACATCAACATGGCGGACGATGAGGTTAGGTGAGTATCGAACAAATGATATGAATATTTTTGAAATCGAATAGATTAGATAATTAAATTGATAACTAATTATTATTATTATTATTATTATTATTATTATTATTATTATTATTATTATTATTATTATTATTATTATTGTTATTATTATAATTATTATTATTATTGTTATTGTTATTATTATATAATCATCAATTATTATTTTTTTTTCTTTTCATTATTCATCGTGAATCATTTCTACATCTAATTATGGAATATTTGTCGATGGCGATTCCCAATCAATAAACCCCTTTCTTGGTTTTGGATTCTAGTATGAATTACGAATTTAAAGGTACGGATTTTGTGTTTTCTATGCTCGTTCTTCTTCTTGTCCTCTTTATTAGAATTAGATGTTTGACATTTGAGATCTGAGATGTAAAGAAGTTTACTATGTAATAAAGAAAAATATGAAAGAAATTAATTTTATACTATTTTTGTTAGAATAGTATAAAATTGTATTTCAGTATTGTATTTTTTTTTCTTCTTTTTTTACATAGTAATCAACTTCGAAGTAGAAAATAGTTTTAAAATTTTTTTTCTGGAGGCTTCGAATAGACTGAGCCTTGTTTTTTCTTTTTAGTTGGTTTTTTCCTCGATAATATTTTTTCCCCTATCTATTTTTGTTTTTATAGAAAAATTTAAATACAAACGTTACGTATTTGCTTACTTTGCCTCGCCCTCGCCCTTCACAGTCAGTTTTTTAGAAAATTTTTTATATTTTTATTTTGACCACTCTTACACAAAAGAGAGTTTATTTCTTTTCTTTTTTTAATTTTTTCAAGTAATATATCGATTCTTCATATCGGTATTTCGAGCTTTTCCCCTTCTCCCCCTATCGTTTCTGTTTTTTCGAAACAATTATTAGAACAAAAAAAGATCATCAATAGAAAGAAATCACAAATCCGAACACACAAATATCGTCGATAGACAAGGATGGAAATGCAGAGTGCTACCGGTAAAGTAGATACGATGCTCGCACGTAAAAATTGCATTCTCCATGAAAAAAAAAAAATATAAAAAAAAAGATACAAAGACATATTACTCTTGCATGTTAATTGTTTATTTTGCTTGTAAAATATATATGTAACATAACTTTATATAAGATATACGTAACATAATATCATGTAAGATATACAACATAAACGTTGTATTAATTATAGTTATTTATTTTATTTTATATGCTTCGATCGATCTTTGAGCTTTTATTAATTTAAATATTTCTAAACAAATAATAAATATATATATATATATACATATATGTATGTATATATGTAAAAATATAATATGTAAAATATACATATTTTCATGTTATATAAAAAAAAAAAAATATATATATATATATATATATATATATATATATATATTTATGATATGTGCTGTACACTTTTTGCTTTTTATAGAAAAAAGAAAAAATATATCTTTCGAAATTAACGCAATAAATATATTGCTTTGCACAATGCTTTTGCCAAAGATTTGTTAAAAAACGAAACTCGAAAAGTCTTTGCGAATCGAATTATGAGAAATATTTGGTTGAATTCATAGCTATTTCAAAGTTCATTTCGAGTATCGTATATATCTCGAATTATTTCCGATGTATGAATGTTTTCTAATATCTCTTTTTCTCTTTCTTTTTTTTTACAGAGGAAGCGTCTCGAGGATGTATGTAAAAGAGATGGAATTATCGAAGTATCACGAACTTATCTCCGATGGAAAGATCGTTCGGAAGCTTCGACTAATTATCAATGTTTTTTTTTAACCGAATTTTAGAAACTTTTTCTTTAGACTGTTACCATCATTGATTCTCAAATTTTTTAAATCTTTGGCTCTAAAAATAACAATTTCTATAATTTTCATATTTTCATTAGTTAGATATTTTTAATTTTTTATTTACTTTCTTTAGTTCTATATAATCAAAAACATGTTATGAAATAAAAAGTGCCGATTGCCTGATCAAACTTGGAATTATAGATAAAAAATACAAAATCATTAGATATATTAGACATATACTATCAGTAATTAAAATCGATCTTTTTTTTTCAAAATCATTACTTATTATAATAATATCATTAGAATTAACATACTATCTTTTCAATCTTTCAATTATCTTTCCATTTCATCAAGAATAGGCTTTAAAAATTGCTGGATGTTTCTAGTAACCGAATGAATGGCTTCCAAGTACAGCGTTGTATTTAAAGCGTTAGAATTAACAGAGTATTTAAAGAACGTATTTACACGATTAATGCAGGAAAAGAAGAGGAAACAGGCGGAGACCGATAGGAAGAGGGCTGAGGTCCGAGCCCGCCTCGAAGAGGCTTCCAAAGCTAAAAAGGCTAAGAAAGGTTTCATGACCCCTGACAGAAAGAAGAAACTAAGAGTAAGTGTATATTTCATTTTTTAATTCCAAATATATAAATTTCTTTTTGTTATTAATTAATGAAATAAATTCCTTTTTACATTAATTTATATTTTATATATAATTTATATATATGTATTTAAATTAATATATTATATATATAAATTATATACATTATATATATTATATATATTATATATATTTTATATATTATATATATTTTATATATATTATATATATATATAAATAATATGAATATAATATTATAATTATTACATTATATTATTGGTATTCATTTTTTTAAGAGAACAATAATATATTTTTAATATTTAATAAATCTATTTTGCACAATTAATTTTACATAATTATTTTATTTTTCATAATAATTATGTAATTTATATATATTTGTAATTTATAATATATATAATTTATATATACTATTAATATTTAATATTTAAAATATAAATTTATTTTACATATATAATTTTACAAATTATTTTTTAATCTTTTAATTATTTATCATTTATCATTTCATTTAGTATCTTATATACTCATATGCACACGCAGACATATACACACATATTCAAGATTTTATTATTGTTTACTTTTTGACAGCTCTTGTTGCGTAAAAAAGCTGCGGAAGAATTGAAAAAAGAGCAGGAAAGAAAAGCTGCAGAAAGGAGACGTATCATCGAGGAACGTTGTGGAAAACCAAGGAACGTCGATGATGCTAACGAAGGTATTTTGTCCTTTCTTTTTATCCATCCTTTCTATATCTCAGTAGAACTTGTAATCTTAAAATTATTTGCGTATTTCGATTTCGAATTTTCGCTACTCCGATATAGTATGATTAAAGTTATATTAATGTCTATTCGTCATTTATATTATTCTATATTTATACTTTGGAAAAAATATTCTATCCAAAGTATTTATCTAGAGGAAAGGTTTATAATCGATTTTAATTTCTCGGATAGCCGATCATCTTTCTTAAAAATTGGTTTATAGATACTTAAAATTAGATAATTCTTTTTTCTTAAGAATTATCTCGTAATCTTAAGGATTATCTCGAAAATGAGATCTTTTTACGATACATATACATACATATACATATACATATACATATACATCTTCTAAAATAGATCTTGGACGAAGAAGATTTTTTTACAGATATGTAGATATATATCTTGAATTGATAAATATCTATTCTTGAAAGAATTATTTCAATAATGAAATATTTTTACAACGCAATATTTATATAATATTTTATGTACGTAGATATACATATATTTATATATATGTATATACATTACTTATATATTATTATTAGGTATCATCGACGATTATTATTTATAATTGACATAATTTTTCCCATTCTCCTAACCATCTTTTCCCCCTCCCTATTCCGTACACACACGTGAAAATACGAAATTATCGGTCTTCTCAATTTCCTCATTTTTTTTCTTTAATTTCTATCTAACATTATATTATATAAACAAATGCTAAGGTATACCAACACGCGTGATTGACGAAATATGTCGGGAAAAGAAATAAATAAATAAATAGGAAGAAAACGAAAAAAGAAAACAAAAAGGAAAAAAAAAGAAAGAAAAAGAATCAACTCTAAAAGGAAAACAAAGACTCACACAGTCTCGGTTTTATAATAGTTCACAATTCTTGTCTTTATGTCTTCTCTAATTAACTCTCACGCAGAAACAGTGAAACGTGTGCTACGCGAGTACCACAATAGGATCACGTCATTGGAGGATCAAAAATTCGACCTTGAATATGTCGTTAAGAAGAAGGATTATGAGGTACTTCAGAGAGAATAGTACACAAAAATACGGGCAACTAGTCCAAATAACGAGCATTTATAACAACGTTATCAAATAATGAGCGCTCAATGTTGTTGCCATTTTTTCTATTACATATTAATGCAGTGCTCTTGCCCGGTTGCGCATATTATTATTTTTGTTCTTTTATCTTTTTTATTTTTTTTCATTTTTTTATTTTTTTATTTTAAAAATTTTTCTTCACCAATTAGAACCTCTTGATATTATCAACGAAATTTCTTTTTTTTCTTTTTCTTACATGCGACACCGATCTAGAAAAAAATCTCTAACGTGACGTACACCGTCGACAGTAATTTGTTTATTTTGTAATAACAAATATAAAATTTAGTTACATATATCATGTTTATTTATATGTTTATTTTCTCAGAATCGAAATAATATACTTATAATTATAGCGTGAAAGTATTATAAAATTGAACATTTCTTTTTTGTTTAATTTCTATTTTAATTTATTATAAAGCAATTATTTTCACGATACGAAATATCAAATTTAGTGTGCTGAGTTTCTTTTTCTTATTTTTTTATTTTTTCAAAATTGCGATAATATACTTATAAAAGTTATTGTCGATTAAGTGTGCAAATTTGAAGATTTTATTTACATCCCTTTTTTTTATTTTAATTTCTACCAATACATACAAAAATAAATAAATTTGATTTATTATTTCGACAATGAATACTTTACATTTTCATTTAAAAATTATAACTCGTATGTTTATTATTTAGTTAATTAATCGATTTTTCATATTTCTGCGACCGGGCATCGGGACACGAGCTTCGCATTCTATCGCTACGTTTCAATATTTATCTCTTTCTCTCTTTCTCTCTCTCTTCCCCCTCTTTTCTTTCTCTCTCTCTCTCTCTCTCTCTCTCTCTTCCTATCGCTATCTCTCTCTCTCTTTCTCTCTATCTCTCTCTAGCCAAACACAAAAAAACATACATACATACTTTATTTAACAGCAACGGCATCACTTTGTTTCTTTACTCTTTTCTATTTGCATTTTATCCTTTTATGCAATTTTGCAAATTTATGTGCTCGCGATCCTTTGCCTTATCTTTTGATCTTTTTTTTTTGTTATCGTCTTTATCCTTTATCAATGGCTGACCCGGACAACTTATGTGTCGTTGATTTTTATATAAAATGTTGTTTGTCTAATAATTAAACGAAATTTAAAATTAGAAATTATATACATATACAATCGTCGATCGCGATAATCGATGTTTTTAAATATTGTGATGCATTATTATGAACAAACACGACATGGATATACAAATATAAATATATAAATAAATAAATAAATATATATATATATATATCCATATATATATATATATATATATATACATATACATATACAGGGTGGATCGAAAGTTTTTACGCAAGTTTAAAAATCGATTACTCTTTTACGCGACCTTTTTAAGCTTGTAGATAAGCTTGTAATTTGACAATCTGAAAAATGAAATTAGCCTAAAAATGTTTCGATTTAGAAGAATAATTGATTATTGATATCTTCTAGGAAATTTTGACCCATCATGTATATGTTACATATATACATATGTATAACATTGTTTTTTTCTTTTTTCTTTACATTATCTCAAATAATTTATTTGATTTACAATAATTTTAATTTTCTAACTGTAAATTTTCATCTCCAATACATATATACATTTATTTCGAATTTTTCCCTTTCCCTCCATCCTTTATGAATCAGTCCTCTTCTCTTTTTTTGCCTTCTCTATTTGATATTTTCTTGAAATAGAAAAGAATTGTATCTTCGTCAACGAAGTCATTCTAAGAATCGTAACGCTTATTTTTCATCGATAGGTACATTCGAAATATGTAGATATCATTCACGTTTAGATTAAAGATCGAAAATGAAAAACGTTAAATTGCGATTATGATTCTGAAGATGACTTCGAATTTTGACAGCCAACGTCAAGTCCATACTGATCCAGTATCATAAGAGGATCAACATTCTTGAGGGGGAGAAGTACGACCTTGAATACGAAGTTGCCAAGAAGGATTTTGAGGTCGACACTTTTTCTAAGTAGAGAGAGAAAGACAGACGGCGCTGCAAATTAGAAACTATTTTTTCTTTTTTTTTTCTCTCAAATTTTTTTCTTCTTTGTTTTTCTTCTTAATTATATAATAATTAATTATATAATATAATCTGTAATAAAAAAATAATATATATATGTATATATATATATACATATATATATATATACATATATATATATATATATACATATATATATATATATACATATATATATATATACATATATATATATATATATATATGTACACATTTTTATAACGATGTTAATTTGTTTATCAGTTTGCAGCGCATCGTCATAAAACGCCAGTAATCAATTTTATTTTTTTGATTTTGGTCGCGCTAAAGATTTAGCTGGTACGGCCTATGATTTGATTTGATAACGATGTATATTTTATCGTATATACAAGTATCAAAGCGTAACATTAGATTCTCGCAGCCTGTACGAGAGAAATAATAATAATAATAATAATAATAATATTAATAATAATAATGATAATAATAATAATAATAATAATAATAATAATAATAATAATAATAATAATAATAATAATAATAATAATAATAATAATAATCATAATGATAATAATAATAATAATAATAATAATAATAAAAATAATCATTATAATAATAATAATAATATTAATAACGATGATGATGATGGTGATGATGATAATGATGATGATAATGACGATGATAATGATGATGATGATGATTATGATGATGGTGATGATGATAATGATGATAATAATAATAATAAAAGCAAGTTTTGTAGGCAAGTTTTGATCGGCTGCGTAGAAAGCCGGTAATTCTAACACTGTAAGAGCAACCTTTCTAATACAAACAAATAATTATCGATAGTCGAAAATAAGTATTTTTGAGCGTAATGGTAGTCAGGTGATTCGCATTGTAGTACCTTAATTTTATTTTATTTTTTTACTTAACGTACAAATTTAATCCTTTAAACGTTGATGCTATCACGAGTGAAATTTTAGCTGGATGTTTTTCTTTTTCTTTTCTTTTCTTTTCTTTTCTTTTTTTCTCTTTAATTTTTTAAAAGTAATAATGTCAAACAAATGCAATCAAATGTTTTATTATGTAATGTAAAACAATTAATGTTTGCAGTGATTAGAAATAATATTGCAATTAATGTATGGAAGTAAAATTTCATCCCGTATACATTTTCTTTTTTTTGTGTGTGTTTTTGTTAATGTAAAATAATTAGAAAGCAATAAGGATTGAATAAATGCAATGAAATGTTTGATGAATAATTGAAAATTTATTAGATATAGTAATTAGAAATGAAATTTTGAATAATTATACCTCACAGAAGGCTAAAATTATACTCATAGATAAATTTTGTTAAAAAGTTAACGTAGCGTTAATCTGATGGATTTGTCGTCAAAAAAAAAGAAAAAGAAAAAAAAAGAAATGAAAGTATTTTAGTATTTAGGAGTATGGGTTTTGTTGTTTCCTAGTTTATCCAAGGTATTTTGCGCGATTTTGTGCGAGGTCCAAGTTTATTCCAGAAAGCCTTTTTTTTCCTAACTTTTTCCTTCTTTACCGATCGTCATTTGTTTATAGCATCGCTTTTTTCGCAGCAAATACTCTTACGTTCATTTTGACCTTTAACAAACCTTCTTTGTTATACATA